CCTTTCTCTCTGTCTCTCTCTCTTTCACTGTCCACTCTGCCTGTCAAAAAAAAAAAAAAGAGAATGACTGACCAGCTACATTCACATGCGTATCGGCACATGTGTTCAGACTCATGTACTAATATATGTACACACACACTCATAATATGGAGATGTATACATCTAGAAAACAAGAACCAAATATGTGGTTTCTCCTGGTAATTCACACACTAAGATCAAGAAATAACATATTATATTTCTCTCCAAAGTATACATATTTTCTGAACCAAATATCAATTTCTGCGGACACTAGACTAAGAAGTTGCAAAGATGTGAAATTCTTTATGTGAAAAGCCTTATAAAGTGTTTGACTTATAATCACATGAACTCATGTATTTATCTGTAGAAAGATATAGAGACATTTAGTCAAAATATACAGCATATGTCAATTGGTAGAGTTCTTGCACATTCAAGATCCTGACTCTTCAAGAATATCTGGACTGCACACTCACTGCATCCATGCCAACAGGACTCCAGAGCGACACGCCCTAGAAGGGGCCTTTCCAAGCTCCTGGCCAATTGGGCTGGCTTCCCAAACTCCTGCTGTCCAGTTTTGGGGGAGTACACTATTAAGAAAAAATTGTACCTGGCTACGTGAGTAAAAAAAAAATGCAATTCTTATTTAAGGCAGAAAGCATCATCCTATCCCAGTAATTCTAAAGAATATTTGTGTCCTTCCCATTCAAGCAGACACAAAGGAAATTGAGTCATCAGCTTCTGGCTGTGCAAACCCCAGAATTTCTCTTTGAGACATGAAAGATCCCCTTTGAACACTGCACTGTGCGTGGCAGCATCTGCCACCTGCCGCAGCTTCTTTCACTAGAACCACTTCCTTCTCGGGCCCTGGGTGGAGTCAGTTGCAATGGAGGTGCTGGCAATACAACTGCTGCTGCTATCTTGTCCCAGCCCCAGATCTACTCCCAACCAGGACGGACTGCTGGGGAGGCCCCGCTCGCATTCCCACCACCTCCTCTGCCTCGGGGACCCCAGCCTGGAGGCCTGACTCTGCAGGCAGATCTGAAACCTCCCTTGGTTGGCCACGTGTCACCTAGTGCTCCTCACCGGGTTTCGGTTCAAGATCCTTGAGTTTAGTAGAGAGAACCATGTCAGCCCACTGCCTAGATACCTCAAGACTTCTTCCCAGGGCACACATAGCCTGCTGATGATCCTCTGAAGACAGATTCTCAGGGTCAATGCCACTGGAGTGCTTACAGGGTCAGGGTGACAGCCCTTACAAGGACATTGCCCTGACTTGTCTCTTCAACAAAGAAACAGCCTCCCTCTCTCTCTCTCTCTTTCTTTTCCAAACCCTGCAAATGAGAGCATGTCTAGAAGGCAGCTGGACTCTGATAAGGGAACTGACTTATTTTAGAAGCAAATAACTAGGTTGGCATCTCCGACAGCTGTGGCCATGCCTGGGGGGTGGGGGTGGGGTGGGGTGGAGACAGGCTAGCCCCAGACAGGGCAAGGCAGCTAAGAGTCTACAGCCTGCAAGAGGGCGGAGAGAGAAGCCACTCATACCAGGCTTCACCTGTGCCAGGCCCAGGGGACAGGCAGGGTGGGAAAACAACACACAATTTCCAAAGTCCTCCACAGGTACAGTAATGAATGGAAGGCCTGTGGCCGCTGGATTCTAACAGGGGGAATTTCACACAGGGGGAATCCCAGCTCCAGCACTTGGTCGGTGGGTGAGTCACATCGTGTCTCGGAGGCTCCATCTCTCTATCTGGCACACGGAGTTAACAGTAGTAATTCACACGGCTGCTCTGAGGCTCCTATCAGAGAATCTATGCCAAGCCCTGACTTAATGCCCAGTACAGGTGCTGTTTGCTAAGTGGTACTTCCTATGGTTTTAGGAACACGTTTTGTACCATACAGTACAATAGCAAGGCACCAAGCTTTGAAAATCGGGGTGCTTTCCTACCCCTCTGGTTATGTTCCTGCAGGTGCTAGAAGCCCCACAGCATCTTCCCTGAGTGTTAGCTAAGAAATACACAAGATTGCTTCTGTCAAAACACACAAGATTGCTCTTGTACTAAACACACAAGCTTGCTCTGATACTAAATACACATGGTTGTTCTTATACTAAACACACAAGAGTGCTCTTACATTAAACCCAAGCTGGCACAAGGCAGAGTAAATGACAGAACTGCTAGGCATGCACAAGATAGCACTTGAGCATAGAACACATATTGTTGCCCCAACAGACAACAGCCTCCCCGCCCACTACAGGACCGGGGGCCAGACTCCTCCCTCCTCGAGTCAGGGGTATTTCCCTAACCAAACGGGCACAAGCACCCCGCCCTCACATCCTAACAAGTCTCAGAGAGGGAAAGTCACTCTTCCACTTCCTTCAGGGTCTTTTTTTTCCTCCTTGGAAAAAAGAAGGGATTTTTCTAAACAATCCTTAATGTCTGTCTCTGTCTCTGTGTCTATGAAAATGAATCAGAAAAGATTTGTTGAATGAATGAAAGGGAGTCTGTCATATACTAGGAATTTCAGGATGCCTAGCATCCACTCCTGCATGGGGTAATTTGGAAGAAAATGGAACTTTTTCCTACTCATCTTGTCACCACACCTTTGCTGGAAGTACATGGCCAATGTGTAATAGGGGGAATCCTTGAATTAATCAGTGCTAATCCTGGTAGGGATGGAGTGTTGCTTCCTCACTTGGGCACATGGGAACACAGCTGTAGCTCTAACTCCGGACAAAGTTCAGTGGGGACAGGGAGGGGTCTGCCACTCCCAGTCCCACAATTCCCAGACACAATCCAGTTTTTCAATGCCAAGGCCACAGTTCCCTAGCCATGACCTAGCTCACAGAGAAGCAGAGATATGATGTGCTTGGGTGGGGGGGGGCTCACCCCCAGGCCTCTATCAAGGGCCACTTTCTTTAAGCCACCCACAGCACCTCATTCAACTCTCCAACTCAGCTTCTCGGACTGACATTCCTTACCTACATGGGGCCATTTCTCTACCTTTCGCTTTTGTATACAAAGATTGGATGCTTCTTTCTACCCACAAGCCTTGCTCCACTCCACAGCTTCCCATTGTCCTCCAGAGCCCACCACTCCCCAACAAGAAGCAACTCCTTCTTCTCCTTCCCCTGTCTTCCTGCCCAGCCCCAAGCCCTCTATGAAGCCACATCGCCTCTGCAAGTCTCAGTTCCTTCCTTCCAAAGAGCTTTCTGAGCACGTGAAAGCCCGTGCCCAGGCAGCTACAGTCACTGTGCTTCCTCCAAAGGAAGGGAGGTTCTGAGAGACCACAGGCACCCCAGGCAGGAGCGAGCCCGCTGGGAGAGCCTCAAGGCTGAGGATGGTGCCAAGTACTTGGAGGTGGAACCCTTTAGAAGAAGCAGGGAGTCAGGATTCAGAACTCCTTGGAACCAAAGCAGAAGACCCGGCAGGGAGGTAGGCAGCGTACAAATAAACCTCCCAGGTGGTCACAGAGAAGCCTCCTCTGCCCCCTTCCTCTGACACCAGGCCCCAACGCTCTCCCTGCTTCCAAGAGTCTCTTCTCTCCCATCCTGAGCTTTCTGCGTTTCAAGGGGCTGCTGGAGCTCCAGTTCCTGCCCAGAGCCCCTCCTGCCCTGAGCTCCTTTAAGAGTCGGCCCTTCCCTTTGAGTCTAACCCATCCTAAGCCTGGCCTTTGGCATTCAGTGGGCCAGGGTTCCAACCCAGCACAGTCCTATCTGTGTGAAACCTCTCTGTGCCTCAGTTTCCCTCCCAGAAAACAGACCCAATGATGGGCCACTGTGGGAGTTCAAGGAGGTAACACAGACCAAGGATTTAACACAGTGCCCTGCACAGGGAACGGTGCAGTAGGGGGTAGCTAGCATTGTTCTTGCTGTTATTATTACCACTATTGTTACTTCTGTCCTCAGGAAATGCAATTCTAGGTCCTTAACCTAGCCTCATCTAAAGTACCCAGGTGGGACTGTGTCTCTGGCTTTCCTGGATACCCCCAAACTGAGTTTAATAAACACTCGCTGAGTATTATGAACCATAGGCTGAGCGGTCTTAATGACCCAGCTGGCACTTGTTGAAAGAAAAATTAATTTTCCAAGCGATAAGCAAATCAACCGTGTAATTATCTGTACATATATAGACAAAGAAAGGGAACACTTGGAGTTGAGCCACACCAGAATACCTCACACACTGCACGCCCCTCAGCGGCCACAGAAAGGCACCAGTCTGTTCGCATGTGATACTGGAGCCCTGGCTCCGAGGTCCCTGACTTCACGCTGGTGTCCAGACTCTCCTCCCTGGGCTGAGACTGCCAGGCAGGGGCAGGGAACAGGAGCCACATTCTTGTTTGGATTTCCCCAAACTGATTGGCAGAACAGAAGGCTGGCAGAGTTGAGCAGGCGCCCAGTCATTGTCCCTCTTATTCGCACTCCTTGCCCCAGGCTAGAACCTCATCTCCAGGGTTGGTTCAAGTTCTAGGGTTCAAGTTCAAGGCTAGGGTGGTCAGGGGCAGGACCAGACAGCCAGAGGTTGGAAATCAGGCTCACTGGGCAGCCACATGGACACAGGAGCCCTTTCTGGAAAGCTCACTGCCTCCGGCTCCCACCCCTGTAACTCTGATCACCTCTGGCCACCTTGCCAGCAGCTCCTACCCTAGCTCTGGCTCCCCTCCCTGCCTCTGCGCGCACCCAGAAGTACAGTTATTCTGCCATGTGCTCCAGCTCCGGCGCCCTCACGCCGAACTTGAGAGGGCAGCCTGCCCGGCCAACTCTCTGCCTCCTTTTCCACTCCACCAAACGGTGCTTCCCACCGACAAACTCGCCAACCGCTTAGCGCAAATCCCAGCGCTGCTCTCCTGAACTCAGTTCAGGTCGCTCACCGCCCCACTTGACTCCAGCCTCCCAGGGCGGACTCAATCTACCGGGCTCCTGCCCGGCTGCTCCCTGGACACTGCGGACACCCCTGCCGCCGCCCTGGGCTGCGGCGGGCACTCACCGATCTGCGCCAGGCTCAGCTGCACTAGGCAGAGTCCCCAGGCTGCGCGCCACCAAAACTTGTCCATGGTGTGTCCCAGCGAATCGAGTGAGCAAGCGGTGGTGCTGGAGGAGGGGAGGTCCCGGGGCGCGGGGCGGGGGCCGGTGGAGGACGGGGCGCACGGGGCGGACCGAAGCTGTCAGAGGTTGGGGGCCGCTGGGCAATGAGGCCGCCTCGGAAGTTGGCTGCAGTTTTTATTCGAGGCTTGAAAGTGACCTAAGAGGGAGGGAGCGAGCGCAGGACACACCCAAGCGAGGGGCTGTGTCTAAGGCGCCGGCGGAGGTTTAAAGACGTACCAGCAGTCCTTGGCGCGGGCCTCCGCCCCTGCCCGCCCTGGCTGCCTGCGGACTCCCTGCGCCCCCAGCCCGTGCGCCCCGGGACGCCCGTCAGCTGGCTCCGCCGCTTGCTGGGGTGACTGAGCCCCTAAAACCTCCCTCCCTTGTGTTTAGCCTCTGCCTCTCCTTTCCCGCTAGCTTTCTTTTTGCATTTGGTTTGGGGAGCATTTCTGGGTCTCCCAGGCAGGTGGGCGTCCTGGGCGAGGATTGGGGGTGGGGGAGGCAGGGGCTTAGGTTTCCTCCCAGGGGAGGAGGGCAGAGTGCATTCTTCTTCCCTTCGAAGAATAGTGAGGTCCGCATCGTCGGTGGCAGTGACGTTTTGCTTCTCCTTAGGACTGCTCAGGGAAAGCGACCCAAGGCCCGCCCTGGGGCTGCGATTTGGATCCCGCAACTGCCGCGTTCATCCTGTGCCCACACACTCAGTCTTCCTCCTGAATAACCTTCCATTCACCGTCCATCTATCCACCCATCTTTCCTTACGTACTTCCGGAGCGCTAATATCCATCCGGCCCACTGTCCATCTATTATCTGTTCAAATCCATTCATCTTCCCATTCATCTACTGATCCACTGGCTCCATCCATTCAACCAGCCATCCATCCATCCAACCGCCTTTTCTTCCGCGCATCCTCCCTCACAGCTGCTCCTCCACCATTCTGTACCTCCGCTTTCACATCTCTTTGTGCTCCCGACCCAGAAACATCCCCTTTCCAAATATCTCTCTGTTAGTTGATGTATCCATTCATCTCACATCCATCCATCATCAACATTTCTACCCATCATTTATCTGTGCTGTCATCCACCCCCACATTCAACCCTCCTTTCCTGCTCCCTTTTATACCACATTCTATACAAACATTCATCTGCTCTCCCCAGTGTAGCCTACCTAGTAAATCTAAACAGGAGAAGGGACTGTCATGTTTGTTTTCTTCTTTAAAAATTTATTTATTTATTTGAAAGGCAGAGTTACACCGAGAGAGAAGGAGAGGCAGCGAGAGAGAGAGAGAGAGAGGTCTTCCATCCACTGGTTCACTCTCCAGAGCTGTGCTAATGCAAAGCCAGGAGCCAGGAGCTTCTTCCTGGTCTCCCATGAGGGTGCAGGGGCCCAAGAACTTGGGCCATCTTCTACTGCTTTCCAAGGCCATAGCAGAGAGCTGGATAGGAAGTGGAGCAGCCGGGACTCAAACCACTGCCTATAAGGGATGCCGGCACTGCAGGCAGCAGCTTTACCCGCTATGCCACAGCGCTGGCCTCGACTGTCATGTTCTTTCAGGAAGGCTTTTCAAGTTTGAAGATATAAAAAACTACATTTTGGATCCTAATTCCATCTCCACCTAGAAGATACTATGGTGTAGTGTTTGGAAAGCAAAAGCAGTTTTAATGTGGACTACTGAGAGTAGATCTCAATGAACTTCTTGCCTTGGGCAATACACAGAAAGTGAAAGTGACCATCTGTAGCTGTGGCAAGGTCCTGAAGGAATCATGCTTGAATTTCCAAGGAAAGGCAAGATTCTGTAATTTATTGAAAGAAATGGGAAAACTGGGCAGTGAGGCACCCAGCCACCTGCTTACCCATTTACTCATCAAATGAGTAATGGGCACAAAAAAGTCTCAAGATAGATGAGGCCTGACCCTGTCTTTAGGGACTGTCCATGCTGATAGGAAAGCGAACTTTCCGGGTGGGTGTTTGGCTTGGCAGTGAAGGCACTGCTTGGGACCCCTGTATCCCACATCTCGTGCCTGGGTTTGAGTGCTGGCTCTGCTTCTGATTCCAGCTTCCTGCTAATGCACATCTCATGAGGCTGCAGATGATGGCTCAAATACTTGGATCTCTGCTACCCATCTGAGAGACCTGGACTGAGTTCCTGGAGCTCCTGGCTTCGGCTTGATCCAGCCTTGCTGCTGCAGGCATTTGAGGAGTAAACCAGCAGATGGGACCACTCTCTGTCTGCCTCTCTTTCTGTTTATATCTCAAATAAAACATAAATGAATAAATAACAATATTTTTAAAAACCGAAAAGACTGTTACCCACAGTATAAAATAGCCAGCCCTTGTATCAGTGGATCAAAAACATTTGGGGAAGAAAACATTGTTATATATACAGCGTTTTTCCTTTATCCCCTAAGTGATACAGTGAAACAGTGATTTACATGGCCTTCATGTTGTATGAGATGTAATAAGTCACTTTTAGATGATTTAAAATACGTGCCACATTCCACATAGGTTATATGTAAATACTACACCATTCTTTTCTTTTCCCCCAGAAACCTTTTATTTAAGGGATACAAACTTCATATATTTCATAATTACATTCTATATACAGGATTTGAGCATCTGAGATTTTGGTGGCCGAGAGAGCTCCTAGAACCACAACTTTATGTGTTTTCAGGGTGCTGTCAGTCCTAGAGTAGGGAGTCACACTCGTTCTTGGGGAGCACCAGGGGGAATTCGCAGAGGAGGTGATATTTGAGCTAGAGTCGGAAAGAAGATTAGGATTTTTTCAAATGACACTGCAGGGACAAGTCATTAGTAGGCCATACCTTACAGGGGTGGATAGCATGGATTCAGGAGGTGGAATGCCTAGGCTCAGACTCTGTGTGGGTTGTTAACTAGTTGTATGAGCTTGAATAAGGCAATCAGCTTTTTTTTTTTTTTTAAGATTTATTTTATTTACTTGAGAGGCAGAGTTACAGACAGAGAGAGGGAGAGACATAGAGGTCTTCCATCCACTGGTTCACTCCCCAAATGGCCATAACCACCAAGCTGGGCTGATCTGAAAGCAGGGGTCTCCCATATGGGTGCAGAGTCCCAAACACTTGGGCCATCTTCCATTGATTTCCCAGGCCATTAGCAGGGAGCTGGATCAGAAGTGAAGCAGCCACGGCCTGTGCCGCGGCTCACTAGGCTGATCTTCCTTCTGCGGCACCAGCACCCCAGGTTCTAGTCCAGGTTGGGGCGCCGGATTCTGTCCCGGTTGCTCCTCTTCCAGTCCAGCTCTCTGCTGTGGCATGGGAGGGCAGTGGAGGATGGCCCAAGTGCTTGGGCCCTGCACCCACACGGGAGACCAGGAGACGCACCTGGCTCCTGGCTTCAGATCAGCATGGCACGCTGGCCAAAGCACGCCAGCCGTAGTGGCCATTTTGGGGGTGAACCAACGGAAGGAAGACCTTTCTCTCACTGTCTATAACTCTACCTGTCAAATAAAAATAAATAAATAAAAATTTTAAAAAAAGGAAAGAAAAAAGAAAAAAAAAAAAGAAGTGGCGCAGCCAGGACTCGAACCAGTACCCATCTGGGATGCTGCTGGCCCTCTGTGGATGTTCACCTACTGTGCCACAGCACCGGCCCCACCAATAAGCCTTTCCATGCTCACTTTCCTCAAGTATAAATGAGCTCAGTAACAGTATCTACTTCCTAGAATTGGCAAGGACCAAATGACTTGAAAGTCCTCCATATATTAGGCAGGAGCCTGCACATGCATATAGCAAGAACCATAAATATGAGAATTATTTGAATAGTAATTTGGATGAAGAGTTTGGAAGGGGAACAGGGAGACATGAGGCTGAAGACGTAGACAGAGGCCAGATTATAAGGAAGCCAGAGAATTTGAACTTGATCTCACCAGGAATAAGGAGCTGGTGGAAGTTTTTATAATGATTATTATGTTAATATGCAGATAACATAAAATTTACCATTTGAAGGAGAGTAGGCCAAGTGGCACTGGAACATTCACAATACTGTACAACCTTCACCTTTTTTTGTACAAAGTTTTTGAGTCCGTTTGGCTGTCAGCTACTTTACCTCCATTTCCTGGGAGACTATCTGGAGATGAAAATCCATTATTGGGGCCTGTTCCTCAGCAGCTCAGTAGCTGGCCTTCCAATGGCTCTAAGGACGGCCTGTCTGAAATGATGATAGTGCCTGCAGAGCCGGCATTGAAAACTCTGCCCTGCCACTCTCCACGACCAGAGGGACACTAGCCTGAATCAACCTGGGCCAACTGGTTCCCAGGCGGAGCTGTGGAGCTCTGGGCTCTAACCAGGTAAGGAGCCAGCCCAGGTGGTCTTCCCATCAGGAGGATGCCTGGCCTTGCACACCTCATGCTGCCACCAGGAGTCCGCCTTCTTTGGGGGAAAGGATTGAAGTAGGAACAACGTTTGTCTCCCTGTGTTTCATGGAACCTGAAGTTCCTCACTAACCCCAAAGAAACAGGGCCAGAGGTCAGGGCAAAGGCTTCCAAGTTGGCTGGGCCTCCCCTCCCCTGCTCCTTTCCCTTGCCATCCCCATCCGCACCGCAGAAGTTCCACTTGTGTCTATTTTATACAGGAGAATTTCATATGTGAGATTTCATTTTGACGGCTGGTTTTACTCTTAAGAAGATATGTAAAAAACCACCAAACAAGATCGTTTCGAATCCTGGTCAGTTTAGCAGTTAATGCAGTAAACAATCACTACCAATTAAAAAAAAAATTTTTGATCTGAAAGTGCTTTGCAAACTGTAGCCAGGCATGCAAATTCTAGTGGGTGCAGTTGGGCTAATTCTCCCAGCAGGGAGGCTTTTGTCTGTCCCCTTCCCGATAGTTTAGTGAGGGACTGAGGCTACTGACCCCCACACCACAAATGACTCATTTCACAGAGTTGATGAGGTGACTGACTGGGTCATGGTCAGCCTGGATCATTCGCTAAGCCCACCCCCAGCCTCTTTCCGCTCCAAACAAGGACACTCTTCAAACACAATTAGTCACACAACGGCTTTTCCACACTGCGTTGAGCCTCTATAAAGACTGAAATCTTTATAATGATGAATTTTAGATGCTCTGTATCTGTTTCATATCACACCGGATACCTTTCTAAGCCAAAGCAT